TACACCTGTGTGGTAATGGGACAATGGGGTAGAAGAGAGTGTTCCCAAAAGAAATCACATTATTTATGTGGATGCAATAAAAGTTAAGGATACGCCTCAAAGGAATAAGAAAAGAATCCATGTAATAAATGGTATTTAGGATGATTAGCTTTCAGATTGAAAACAAATCTAAGTCAAAGCCAAATGGATTAAGGCATTTTCTTTTAATTAGACAAGGGAAAGGTCGGGGGCAGGAGTGAGGAGGACTTACTAAATTTACAAGGATTAGAAAAACATAATAGAAACAATAGACTGGTGGGAGTTGGTGAGATCCACATCTCACATTTCGTGGAAAGTGTGATGCGTGAGGCCCATTTCAGATGCGTTTACTACGCCTTCTATGGCACTGAGCTAATCATATTCATTTTCATTCAACAAGCATTTCCCGAGACCTCCTCTGGTCAGCCAGGTTCATATTCTGGGAACTCCAGGGTACAAATATTCACTCCCTGATCTTCAGTAGTTCACAGCCTAATGAGGTGATAGACAGCCATGAAGGTTGTGATCAGTACAGAGTGCTTTGGGAGCACCTAGGGAGGTGTTAGGGTCAGTGGGAGAAGCTAAGTCTTGAAGGATGAGCAGATTTAGCCAGATGATGAAAGGGGAGGCCGGAAAGGCAAGAAGGTTTCACCCAGAGGAATGACATAGGCAATCATCGCAACATGAGGAAACACCAGTAGTTCAGGATGTCCAGAGCCAAGGATATGTGGATGTGCAGCAAGGGGTGACCCTGGAGAGGATACAGAAGCCTGGCATGTGCATTCAGACCTAAACTGAGAAGTGCTGGGATTGGAGAGGACGCCTGAGAGAGGGAGGCTTGGGAGAGAGGAGGACGGGAAGAGGAAGATTCAGTGTGAAATCTACCAGGCATGATGACCGACTGGATAGGGGGAGGAGGAAAGACATCATGGAGGCCTGCACTCAGCATGGCGTGTGCCACTTCATTTAAAGACAGGGCTTGCGCCAGATGCTCAGATCCATCCACGCTCTGATTCTTGAGTGCACTGAATGTTGGAAATAGTTCCCTTTCTTCTCAATGTGGTCTGATGCAAACTCTCTGTAATGATAAGGAGTCCTTTGGAGAAGAGTTTGAGGGTCTGAAAATATTTCTCTGCGCCAACAAAACATTTTCCAGTCCCTGATGAATCAAATCTACCTAATTTTTCATTTAAGAGACCCAGTCTAACAATGGCTCGGACAGCTTAGGTAACCGAACACAAAGTTTTTCCCGGTGGCTCAGTCTGCTTTTCTAGGTTGTCACCTTAACATCTGTGTGCTTCAAGCTA